TAACTTATCGAATTCGGCCGAATAGACTTCGGCAAATTTTTTTAGGGTGTCCCAGAATTTATGAAAACAGCTGTAATCGGTATTATTTTTTTTCGAGAGAATTGCTTTCGGGATTTAAGCAACTGTTGATCTAACTATGTTACACGAACACGCTACTCAAAATATATACTCATAAATACATCGCGCCCAACTCTAACCCGAAAGCGCCCTACCTCTCCACAAACCTTAATTGAGATTTCACGTTGCTTTTTCAATGGTAAAAATGAAATTCTTATCATGTCTTTCAAATATTTATGATTACTATATGATTTCCTCTCTCTGACCTCTCAAACAGTATACTCCCACCAATGTCTGTGTCCCCCCTCTTATGTCTCCTCCATTGAACCCTGTAGTCTTCCAATTTTGTGCTCCAACAGTGCAAACTTGAAAAAGAAAAATAGTTCACACAAATTGTGAAAAAATGACAAGAGAATGTAAATAATTTCTTTAATTGTATTTTTATTAAAAAAACAGAATATATTTTTTCATCACATTTTTTATAATCTTATTTTATATTATGGTTGTTACATTAGTTGTAATTTTGTTGGCACTGATTATTAGTCAGGACAGCCAAGACAAACATGGTATGTTTCCTTTGTGTTTATTTAGTTATAAGTGACATTTGATTTGTTTAATTATAAAAATTCTTTATAAATAGAAAACTTGTATTTGGCATACAAGCTCTCACTCTATTACTGCCACTGATCCATAAGAGAAAGTGTGCAACAATATTTTTTTTGTCAACGTAGAAGACGTCGAAAGATTCATCGGAACAATGGTTGACCAAATATGTGGTATGATATTTTTTTTGATACAGTAGCATAAAAAGAAGAAAAGTGCAAACACATTATAAGTACATTTATCTTTGCTTTTGCATTAATAATAGGCACATCTTGCTATATGCATTTCTTACTATAACCTATTAGAAATTATAATAGAAAACAAAAAAAATGAAATGAAATGACGAAGAGGATGCTCCCTACACCAAAACATGAGATGCAAAAAAATAACTGTTTTCTTCATACTGTGGGCTGAGTGGAATATTGAAAGAATATAGAATTAATAAATCTATTCCTCAATTTCAAGCCAAATAAATAACATATGAAAGATTTCAAATATATGACAGAATTATGTTTAAATAATATCTCTATTTACAACTTTAGCTATCTACAACATTAATGATTAAACACTGCATTGATTTTACTCAAGCTGAGGTGTATGGGGTCGCAAAAAATTTCAAGTATCAAATTCTTTAAGTGAAAAAAACTCTTAAATTATAATATTGGCATGCTAAAGTAGATGAAAGTGATCATAATAATAACGTTGCAACTAGTAACATCTTTTTGTGGATTTAGGCATTGTATTTTTGAAGTCTTAATAGTAATTGTTTCCAACACCCCACCTAATTCTCTATCATGTTCTTACTAAAAATTGTAATGACGTCAAAAAAGCGATTTATTTGCTTTATGACAAAAATTTGGTTTTTTTTTTGATTTTTGAAGTACGAATATCTTGGTTCAAAAATCAGATAATAACACGATTCAAGCAATGTTATTAATTACTGGTCTATAACAAAATTATTTTTTACAAAAGTTTTTATAAAATTACCTTCTATATCGAGTTAGATTGATGGATTTATTCCATCTCTTCATTAACACTCGAGATACTAAACCTAACCTTTGAGCCATGTTATTTGATCATCACGAAATTGACTTTATATACAGTAGAATTATGTATATTGTACGTATAGCTTTATAAAACTTTATAAAACTATTAAAACTAGTTTTGTGAGGTTTTCTAGCAAGCTAAACATTTTATTTAGTATATTAAACGTTAATTTCCTCAGTCACTCGTGAGAAATAGCCAAAGCAAATTAAATCATTTTTATATAGATATAAATAAAATTTGTGTACATTTATTCCTCATCCGGAGTGATTTTTGATATTCCTCACCCACATTATAGGATTTTAAAATTTTACTAATAAAACCATCTTCGAGGTTCTAACAAAAACGATCCTTACACAACTTCACCCTAAACCCAATCCTAACCTTAACCTTAACCTCCTAACCTTAACTCTATCCTTATAGTGGTTGGTTGCAAATTGTTTCTTAAGGGGTGAATAGGTGAGGAATAAATTATTTTTTATGCGTATATATATATTAACAATTGAAAATTTGCGCTATGAATTAAAAAGTTGTGCTATTGATTAAAGTTACGCAAACTAATTAATATTACGCACAATGGAATTCATGAAGATTTTGTAACTTGTTGCATCACAAAAAAAATTCATTGGGATGAAACGCTAGCACTAGTACTTACGTAAGTACTTGCGTCAATGTTACCATAGCTTTCTGGAACAAGACCATGTGATATAGCTTGGCGATAAGGTATTGAATAAAAAACCAGCGTGATACCAGTTTGGTAACATCTCTCTAACCTTAACTTAGTTATCACTTTTTAGAGAAACAAGTTTCGATTTCATTTCGATATCCCACCCATATTATTCCGAAGAAAGTTCCACATGCATCCTCATTTATTATATATCGATATATATATATTTATGTTTAATACGTATCCGCAGTATTCCGGAACTTCATGATTTGGTGCTCCATTGGGAAATTTCGCTTGTTCTAGCCCGTTGCTTCATTGTTCTATTGGAAATTTTTAATACGTATTAAACTTCTAATTTTGTAAATATTATTATAATAAGTCATTTCGCTTTTTTAATAACTGCAATATTATTTAGAACAAAAAAAAAAGTTTTTTTGCGTGATGAAAAAATGGTTCATTGCTTCGTTCTTTCTGCTTACTTGCACTAATTATGACGTACAATGCTTTTAACTGTCAAAAAAAAAGAGCGGAAAGGAGAAAATTTTTTATGTATGAGATCGTCATGTGTGATACGCAATCACGCCTGATATTTTACGTACGTATATATAAATAGGTCTTTTGACCTTCCTCCGCCTTTCATTAACAATAATAAATAATTGGCCTTTAAAATAAAATGCCAGTGCAGCACTTGTCAGATGATTTAATTCATGATATCTTGCAATACCTCCGTGAGGATCAATACGCTCTTTACAATTCTTTATGCGTAAACCGTTTTTGGAGTAGTCAAGTAGCTCCATTACTTTGGTGTCAACCATTTGTAAATTGTCCTCTTTCAAAACGGCATTTACTCATAAGAACTTATATATCATGTTTTAATACGGATGAAATTAAAAATTTAAGTCCGTATAAAATTAATCTTTCTGAAATTCAACCTACTTTATTTGATTATGCAAGATATTTGGAAAGTATTTCTGATTGTCATTTGAATTCAAGTGTTCTTGATTGGATTCATAAACAAATAAATCAGAAATTTTCTGATTTCCCCGTTGGAGCAATTACTGCATCTCTATGGCACTTGTTTTTACGTAAATGTGTAAAGATACAATCAATTTTAATTTCTCCTCATTATTTTAGCTCTCTTATTCCAACTCTGAAATCAACTTTAATGACAAGTACTGCTCTTCATTCTTTACGAAATTTAGAGATTGTTATTGATCGTGATTTCATTAAAGGGAAATTTCCAAATACTGTAGAAATTTTAAAACAGTTATCTTTATTATGCATCAACATTGAATATGTTGAAATAAAAATCTTGAGGAAAATTAATCCTTTAACTCAACAATTAATAATCGATATTATTAAGTCTCAACAAAATCTTAAAGAATTCAAATTGACCGAGAATTGGGTTCATTCAACAAGTATTATATCATCCTTGGAAATTCACACTAATAATATCACCGCTTTGGGATTATTTTCTTTTCTATTTGATGATACTTCTATTAAAATTTTATCCAAGTTTACATGTCTGGAATCACTTCAACTTCACAAATGTAGTTGTATTGAAAGGTATCCAAATAGAATTCTATCTGATGCAATATTTAATTTAAAGTCTTTATTCATAGTTGGAACTCCTTCAAATTTAACTACTTCAATTATCGCCAAAGCTGGACATATGTTACAATTATTAGTTATGGATTGTGTTAATAGTGATATGATTGATTTTGTTTCAAAATATTGTCCAAACATTTCCATGCTATATGTTGAATTGACTCAAAACGATTATACTCTATTATTTCCTTGGATTGGATCATTGCAATTGGAAACTCTGGAAGTTAAATGCTCTATCGAATCTCGTAATAGAACTCACTTACTTAGTCCAAATGACAGTGGAAAATTTTTACAACTTTTAACTCAACATTTACCTTTAACATTAACTTTTTTGAGATTAGAAGGAATGGAAATTTTACCTGAGGATTTTAATAATTTCTCAAGGAATTGTAATGTTCCTTTACAAACATTCATTATTCAGGGTATTCTGAAACACTATAATGATGATGAAGTACTTTGTTTAATCTCTCAATTTGCTACTTTACATAACAAAACATTGGAACTTTTCGGAATTGATCGTGATGTTATACCTCAAAAGTGGTCAAAGAAATTAAAGAAACTCGGGATTGATATCTTTTCTATTGATGATTTTGAAACTTTATATAAAAGTTATTGAGATTATTTTATGACAATTTAAGATTAAACTTGTGTACAGGTTTTTTCTTTTAAATTACAAATAACTTATTCAACTTGATTATATTTCCTGTGTAAAAAATTCATTATCATATCCCTAAAATTAAATGCTTCGATTTATTTTCAATATATAATTCGTTTCCGATTATTTTTATAATCGTTTAATAAATCTATAATTAAAAAAAAAGCAAAAATAGAAATAATTGATATTGTAATTATAAACACGTTTCACTTCTTGTAATTATCATTTTATTTATTTATCATCTAATTTAAAACTAAATATTGAAAATTTAATACCATGCTAAAGCAAGAATGATTGATCTATTGTTTCCCTATTAAAGCCCCAATTATAGCCCCAATTATTAAATATTATGAAAAAAAAAAAAATTTAAATTAATCTCAAAATTATAAGAATTTTTTTTTCAAAAGTGGTATATTCTACAATTTTAAATAAAATGTGAAAGTAAATAACAATCAATAATATCTACTATTTTAGTAATAAATTTGTGCTAGAATCTATTGTTGCTGATGGAATAATATTGTACAATGAGGCAGTGCGTAAAAGAAATTTCCGTAATGTTATCCGTACTTCAGCAGAGATAATGTTGTGTGATAATAGATTAATTGCTTCCGGATAGAAATTAGGAAGAAATCGTGTAAGCTGATAAGAAAAATATAGGAGGTTTAGTTAAGTCAAATATACATATATATATATATATATTTATACAAAAAATATATTATAAATCATACATCATCATCCTTAAAGTGAACATATGTATTTAGAACAGTGGTCACTATAGGCGACCACGCGTTAATATTCCGTGCTTGTGACTCAGGATCCAATGAATTGTATTGTTTCAATATTTGTTGCGTTAATCTATTAAAATAAATTACTATATTTTAGAGTAGGCTTTGCATAAAAAAATCACTATTTACTATAAACTCACGGTATTAGTTTTCGCTCAATATCTGATTTTCTCTCCAGGCGGTTTGGAGAGCCGTCACCATGCATTCTTCTCAAAAGATCTAGAAAACACGATGCACTACTTGATTCTTGTTTAAGTAAGTTGGGCAATTGCTTCATGAACCCTAAAAAAAAATACATGCATATTAGCATAATTTACTTGGAAATGTAAATGTAACTTACTATAAAACATATAATGTAACCTATTTTCCAGAGTGCCGTTCGCAATTCTTTATCTTCATTGAATTTTCGAGCAAAGTTATATGATTTGTCTAAGCATTCGCCAATTGTCAATAAATGTACAGCTGGTATTGACTCATATACTGTATCATTACTTAAAAATTCTTTTACAGTATCTATTAGCAGTAGTTGAAGCAGGCACTTTATAACAATCTTATTGAATTCTTTTGTTCTTTGCTCATCAGGGGCCGTGGTTGTTGTTGACGTATGTTCAGATTCAGAATAATGTTCTTCAAGTTCTTCAATCATGGACCGAGTGTTCAAATCAACTTCAGAAATGAAACCGTTTACATTGTGCCCGTTTAGGCCTAAATCAAAAGAATAATGAACAACTAATAAATGACCACAAACTATATAATAATATAATAATTACCATATATTTCGGCAATCCCATTCGACAACTGTTTAGCAGCATCAATAAATCGGTGACTTTCATCAAGTAAATTGTATGGAGTAGTGGTTTCAAATAACTGGACAAACATTGAACTAATTTTTCCCCAATGCTTATAATCAAGTTTCTTTACATTTGCATTAATTAATTGTTGTAAACAAGAGCTCCCAATACGTGCAAGTGTATCATTCTCTAAAAAAATAAACAATAATAATATATATATATAATAACAAAATATATTGTTCATATATAATAAATATTAAATGTAACCCGTTACCTTGCGTTATACAAGAACCGAGTAGGTCTAATATTCCGTCAATCATTACCTCAAGCGTGTCGAAATAATGTGTGAACAAATCAATCATATTACGAAGGGCTTGGATCATAGTCGTTGATAACCAAACACTCATATCCTCATGACTTGAGAACTTTGATATATCTGAACGAGATCTTAACACACCAAAGATAGGAAAGAGAACTTGACGACATATTACACCCCAAAACTCTAAAGAATATGTAACACCATATTTTTTAAGGGTGTCAAACATAGAAGTTAGGGCCCTAATATGCCATTAATAAAATTAGATTTCATATTGAATTATTGTTAAAAATCCAAATATAGTAAAGTTCTAACCTTGTTCTAACTTCCAAATCTTCGCCATTCATTATAACATCATGGAATCCGAATAATAGCGGATACCAAAATTTAAATGATGGATCATCGTTGGTAATTACTTTAACTTCAGGTGAATTTCCGGTACCATTAGATCCGTTAATAGAATAATGTATTTTATATTGTGGATACTCTAACATCTTTAGTATAGACATGCACATAAGATCAATCGCTTGAAGACTTTGTTTAAATATAAAGATTTAATTTCAAATTAATCAAGTAGACAAGTAACCAATTATGTTACAAAAAAAAAGAAAACAGTATAAGATATGCCACCTTGTTTTTTGAAATCGTTTGTTTTTACAAAATTCCGTAAGGCAAACCATAAGATCAGGGTAAGTACTGTTGGATACGATACTATCAAATTGATCTTTTATTATCATTCTAACGATATCGAATGCCATTATAACAATGGATTCTAAAAATAAAACATAATGCATGAATAAATATGTATAAAAAATTCAATATGTTAAAGTTGATGTTTACCATTAATTTCTTTTGCTGCGGCTGACAAAACTCCAAATAAAGCCTTCCACCCAGATTTGATGTTGTGTGATCGAGCTTGTATCATTTGTTGAACGCAACGTAACACCTTGATTATACATAAACATATTCATGCATCATTTAATACAGAGAGTCTATAATTTACTTTTACAGCAATCAACCATGAAAAAGAAAACAATTACCATATCTTTTATGGAAACGTTGGCATTATTAACTAATATATACTCAAAAGGTCTTAAAAAATCCTTCTGAAACTTAAAATGAGGAAGCTCTTCTTTTCCCAAAAATTGCATCGCGAGCTGGCGAAGAGAATCGATAGCAAAGAATCCAACATTTATATTTGGATGGCATCCAACCTATATAATTATTAATTCATTATTAATCCGTGTTCTGTTTTAAAAATTAATGAGTTAACTAATGTTTATTTACCAGATTGAAATGATCACCTAATATGGCCCAAATGTTAGACCATTCCATTCGAATACGGCCCATATTATAATATGAAATCTCGACTAACTTTTGTAAACTAAACATTCTTGGATGTTCTGTCATAGTTGAAGATTGTATTTCTTCCCATGAGACACTGCTTAATGCCCGCACAAATTCTACAATAGCAGTCTGGCAGAAATTTATAAGAATAATGAAAAATTACAGTAAGATATTGATACACATCAAACAAAATATATAAAATAAAAACGAAATAACTAATTTTACCCCAGAGAGTTTTGAACTCGAACTAAAGACTTTATCAACAGCTACGACCACATGGGATGACCTACTTTCTATTGCAACATCTTCTGCAAATGTTAACTTTTGAAGCACATACAAACGGTTAGTTAAATAACTCAGCAATAAAGTTTAATCATATATTATGAACAACCTGAGATACAGGTCTTGATGAAAATGATCTTTTTGAGGTAGAACTGCTGCGCCTTGCTCCGTTATCAACTGAATGTTGTCTAATTCATATGCAGAATAAATAAATATAGAATTTGATCAATTATGTGGTAAAAAAATAAAATAAATAAATAAAAAGTAAATAAATAACTAACTTTGGTTGTTTTCTAGCATTAAATAAATCAGGCACTACGGTTTGATCTACCCCAGTACTTATTAACTGGAACCTTTCTAACTGACTAACACAGGTTAAAACTTCTTGCCAGGATCCCTTTAAATAGTTTCCTTCTAATAATGCTATGTCTAAAAGAGTCTTAATAGCATCTACATTTTTGGGCCTCATTTCACCTAGATTATTCAAAAACGTGAATTTTGCCAATGTAGTGACAAAAGCATTTCTCTCCAGCTCCATATCAAAAAGACTTATTATACGAATAGCAAGCTTAAAACCCTCCAATGCTAGATTTGCTGTTTCCAAATCCTCCGTATCTTGAAGCGGACCAGATAATCCAGCAAGAACTGGCATCCATGCAACTTCAAACATAGGGCGAACATGTTCAAAATGCGAAGCACTGAAAAAAGTTGCACTCGAGGTATAAACGCCACGACGCTGTGCTCTCAGCATAGCTTTGAATAAATTCTAAAATTGATATTAAAAAAAAAAACGGTTAAAGTTATAAACTTGATAGATTATATTAACAGATAATAAATTATTTAATTTAAACCTCAGTTTTATTAGCCATCTCTTGAGAAGCTGCTTGATATGCTTCCCTTTTAAAATCTCTTCTAACATTAACAATAGCACTACCCAAATTCGCAATACCAATTCCGGAATTCGGTGTTATTGGCTGCACCAGCGCAGCATCTTGTTCATCTTTCATTTTAATCTCATCATTTTGTATCTCATCATATATTGCCGTTAGAAATTCTTCGGGCAAATCAGAGTTATCGTTTATTCCACGATTATTTTTTATAAATTCAGATTTTGTCATACGGCGCTTTATTTGAGGATTATGAAGATCAGTATTCAACATAATAACCGAATATGCAAGGACATAAGCGGTATCTAGAATTGACCATTCATTATAAATATTTGAATCGTGAAATGAAATAATTTAAAATATATACATACTCCTATAGACATATGTTAATATATATAATCCATTACAGGTTATAGGTGCCTTACATAAGAAAAAAATACAACAAATCTCCTATAAGTTGTAAAGGATTATATATAACGCTACGGATAGATAGGAGCTTTTATATTCTCATAGTGTATGTACATATCATGTATTATGAGCCAAATTTGGGCACCTGCGTTAGCAAATTGAGTTGGATTGCCGTCTACGTATCGTTCAGCAAATTTTAACATAAATCTATCAATTTTTTGAGCTTCACCAGGCAAACGGAAAGACTGTAAAAACTGTCGTAATGCGTCAACAAAATTCATATTTGAAAAATCCATCAAATCAACAAACGCGTGCATAGTTGCAACATTTTCTGTTTCACTAAAACATTAATTAAAGTCAGCTTACAATATATAACTCTTATAAAAATAAATATGGCAGTCATGTTGAAATTGGTTGATTCTGAAATTCGGAAATCCAGTCAAGTATAATCTCTATTAACTATTCTAACCCTGTCTCGCGAATTAAGCAAGAATCACCCAAATTTTAAATTTAAAATTAAGTATTTCCAAATTTCAGAACCAGGTATTTCAACATTAGCATCAGCTACTTATAATAAATAATAATATGCAATATTCACCCTTCACCCAAATATTCGCCGATCATGGTTTTGTTTAATCCTTCCGTGTTCAATAAAAATTTTGCTATTTCTAAGGGCTCAGTGCTAGGAATAAAACCCGCTGAGATTAGTGCTTGAATTCCCTATTAAAAGAGATATATTACTTTTTATTTTCATACTATCAAACTTTTTTTCAAAAAGAAAAAATATACGTACCCTTTTTGGTTTGAAATTAAACGTTTTAATACCATCTTGAAGCACTTGCTTTCGATGCTTCAGATTTTCAAATTGTTCTGGATCATCCATAGCCTTTGGAATTACACTTTTTATATCACCAAAATATGAACCGGACATTGACATTGTAGAGGATGATGGTGAAGACTTGCTTGTATTTTGTACCGTTACCGAATTTTGAGATAATGCCAATTCAGTAACGGTTTCTTCACTTTTTCTAATTGATTCATCCTTATCGTAATCAATGCCATCCACAGATGGTTTATTACTACACCACGCAACAAGAGAACGTAAAATTGAAACGAGGCATTCAAGCCCCTGATATTTTAATGCAAGCTCATCTGGGAGATTTGGATGTGATTGTGATGTAGTATTAGTAGTTATGGATTTTGTATCGAGAGATGGTGGAATAACGTTTGTAGATTGCATTGATGTACTAGCAAGCGATGTCGTAGATGAATTGGGATCTTTATCTTTTTCAGAATTGGTGGAAGACGACACACCAGATGCTGAATTTATTGTAGTGCGTGTTGTGGTAACTTTTGAAACAATATTTACAATTCTAAATAATAGATTTCAAATTCCAAAGTTGTTGTAATTTTAAAAGTTGTATGTCAGAGCTCGACAGTAAAGATAATTTTTTAAAAAACACTTGCCGCTCGTATGTATTATCTAAAGCTTCTCTATCACAATCATAATTTAAATAAAGCTCTACTAGAGTTTGAGGTTCACTACAGATCCTAGAGAGGATACTCATTAGTGCGTATTTTTGTTTCATTGATGATGTTCTCATTTCTAATATTGGAAGAAATATTTCCTTGAAAAATACTTCAATTTCCTTCTGCAAAATTTAAATTTATAAGGTAAAAATGCAGAAACGAATTATAGTCGAATGGAATGAATAAAATATTAATAAACTACAAAACAAATTCGCCGATGATCAAATCATGTTGAATAAATATTACCTTCAAATGGCTCCTTAACTTAATCATACATTGCCAGAATATTTCAAGACTGATTTCAAAAACTTGAGGCAAAGGGCTTACAGCATTTCTACTCAAGCTCAAGCATAAATATTGCTTGACTGCATGGACGAATGGAATATTCTCTTGTTTAGCGGATGACATAAATAGAACATTAGGAGAAGAAAATACATGTATATGTGTGCTTAATGTTGTCGATATTAGATGTAGTGACAAAAGTTTTGATCGCATTGGGGGAGATTTTAAATCTTTAGATGCTTCAGCAGACATGGGTTTCATAGATAATTTGCATAAAGCACGAAACACAAGAAAAGCATCTTTAACGCATAAATCATCCTGATTAACGGCGATTACATTAGTTTGTTCGAGAGTGGACGCAACATTAGATGATTGCTGATTCTCAGAATCTCTTTAAAAAGTTAAATAAATATGAGCGCATATTCAATAGAATCAGTGCTATTAACAGTATTCTACAAAGACATACGACAATGTTTTTCCATCAGCTGAAAATTCTTCCGGACCCTTAAAATTTACCATTTCTTCTTCAATAACTTTCACAACTTCTTCACTAGAATCGTGAGATTCATTCCATTGTCCAAATTCTAACGCATCAGAGCTTTCTAACTCAACGGTAGTTGGTGTAGTTCCAGTAAATGTGGCTGCTTCTTCAAAACTATCTCGTACATTGCGTTTACCATTTAATTCCTGATCATTTTGTTCGTTATCATTGTTATTATGCTCATTTAATTTGGGGCTATTGCTAATTCCTAAATCAACCTCACTCTCACTTGAACTTTCAATTTCTATTGAGTTATAATTATTACTCTTAAAATCTATGTCTGTTTTTCTTTTCTCTAAAGGTGATTCAATATTTTCGTCAACATTCACCTTGATGCGACTAAAAACTTGATTAACCATTTGAGTTAGTGTTCCTTGTGCAATTGTCTGATTGACGGAACTCCGTGAGAGTAAAAATATATTGTAAGAATAACGAATAGATTTAAGAAGTGAAGATTGGTGAATAGGAGCCTTTGTTGATGAAACAGCAGCTAAAAGTGCCTTTAATTTCATTAGGGTCATAGCAGATAAATATGAAAAAAAAAATCAATTGTTAACTCTGAATTAAAAATACATTATCTTAGGAAAAAAAATCAAATAAAGTAAAATAAAACCTTTATAATTTGTAATTGCACTTTATCATCAGTATTTTCACCTACAAAGCAATCACAAACTGTATCAATTGCTCGGTCAACCAGAGGTTTTTTGCTTTCGTCTTGAACGTCTTTTGAAGAATCATCTATATCATCTACATTTTCCGATATATAGGTTCCATTGGCTTCTATCAGATAATTATATGAAAAAAGTTTTCCAATACAGTCTAACGCTGTAGTCATTAGTGCTATAACTCTTGTTTTGCATGCTGCCTGAAGCGGTTCAAAAATGATGTCTGCATTGCTAATATCAATAAATCAAGGTTAAACTCGCTTTGACGTGAGAAGATTCGGTTTAAATAATAGTTAATACCTTGCATCTCCAGAATCATCTTTGATCGATTCTTTGAACAATTTGTTATATGACAAAGTTTAATATAAGTTAATAATTATTAGAATTAAAAGCAACCAGAACCAACATGAGTTATGCAAAAAAATTAAAAATTGTCGATCTAATGAAGCTTCAATCCGGATATTCGTTTATATAATGCTTAAACTTAATGAAACATTCGAACCAACTTTCGTAAATTCTTCTATATCCTCAGAAGTTTAACTTACCCAACGCTTTATTAACGCTCTCTTTTAATTTTTTATTTCTTCTCCCTTCTTTACTAGCACCAATATTTTTCAGTGCATTGATGATAAAAACCGTGCTCGATGACATTAATCGAGAACTGGAATTTTAAACTATAATGTTATGATTTATTGAAAAGTAGATAACGCAATCATACACAAATTTTTTTATTTATATTTATGAAATTTCTATTCCGAGCAAACGACCAATCAGAAAATAGTAACACATTAGACAATAACACAGGATTTAACCAGGATTAACAGGAGTTTATTAATGTGATTCAACTAATTTAAAATGAGCGAAGAAAAAAAGGATGTTGAGACTTTCAAGCTTCAATCTTTAGATTTAGCAGGTGCAGGTCGGTCTGACACAATTTCGACAAATTCTTCCGTGACTACATCTATTCTACCACAAATCCCTCGTCGGTTTTCTTCTAATGCAACCTATAGTTTTGATGTCAATGATTTTTATTCAACTTCTATAAATCAGCGAGTATATCCAGCAATGTCTTTACATGGCAAAGGTTATAGACGGGGGCATTCACACCGCACCTCGATGAATTCATCGATATCTAATTTTAGCACCATGTCGGAAACTTCATTGCCATGGACTACCAAGGTAATTATCTCGGTTTATTTCATAATATTGTTTATATATAAATGCTTAAACATTTTTTTTGGCAAAATATCAAAGTTGCACACAATAATGCTATGGATTTATTATATTTCTTTCCTCTATTTTTGTATTGATTCAAAAAATTAAAAAGGACATCGGGTTTAATGGTATTCCATAAATTAAACAGACTTTCAGAATATTCAAAATATGCGATCTGATATTTATTTGAATTAAATATTATATAGCTATTTCTGGTGTTCTTAATAATCCAAATGCAAAAGTTTCAAACAAAACTAAACCTTTAAAGAATGATATCCCTTCTGTACCCCATACTACTATAAGAAAAGTGAAGCCAACCGATTTCAAAAGTTATATTAGGCAAATTTCTCCAGTATTTGAAAGATATATTCATAACAAAGATAATCAAAAGCCTTTGGCTACAAGTATCTTGGAAGCAAATCTTGGAAATTTGCAAATTTCATACGATGATAATGAGATTCCTGCTCACAGGCTAGAAAGCACGAGAAATCCTTACACTATACCTATGCTTCCACAGCCTCTTGAAGAAACGCAATCTTTAAAGCCTGATGTCGAGCTTCCGTTACTGGAGGTAGTTCCTTCAATATTTTTTGATCCGGATTTCAACCTAGAGAGTCCAAAAACTTTTGATGTTGTATGTGAAAAGACTGAAGACATTGAGAACAATATTGATAGTCTGTCTATTTCCACGAATGCGATTATTCAGGAAAAGCTTTATATTTATCTTGACAAAGTTGAGATACATCTTGTCAATGAAATTTCTTTACGATCTTCTTCATTTTTTACTGCTCTATCAAATCTTCGAATGCTGCACTCTGAGACGTTGGAATGTATTTCTCAGATTAATAATTTACGTAAAAAGTTAGCACGAATAGAAAACTCACAAGTTAAACGAGGGCTCGAAGTTGTGAGACTAAAACGTCGCCGTGAAAATATTGTTAAGCTTTACAAAGGTATAAAAATGATTGCTGAAATACGTTCGATACAACCATTGATACAAATGTTATTAGAACAAGGAGATTATTTCTCCGTTATGGATTTCATTGAAAAAGTAAACACTATCTTGCGTTGTGACAAAAGTCAGCAAGATCAATTAATAAATGCTATTAATTATAATAGTATAAAAGTGCAGGCATCTACAAAAAATGACCCTAGAGTTATCATTATGCACAGATTAAATAATATAGCTGAGGAGATAAAAAGTTCCGGTTTTTTTAATTTGGAAAAAGTCAAAGCATTGACATATTTTAGTGAACAGCTTAATGAAATGCACAAGATGATTGGTGCAGTGATGGAAAATGATTTTCTGAATATAATATTTTCGGATTTTAATGAGCATATTAAAAATGTGAAAGCAATAGATGCAGTAAATATTCTCTGCAATAATAGCAATCACTTAGCGAAGGACAGTGCTATTGGTATTATAAGCGATGATTCAGTAACAGAAAAGGAAGAAAAACTAAAGAATCGAATAGAAACTCTTATTTTAGGATTGTATGAGGTAAATCGATTTGAACCTGCTTTCCAAGCATATCATGAAAGAATGATGGAAGAAATAAAATGTATAATCCAAATTCAAAAGGTCCGTATTTAATTGAAAGTGGACTTAAGACATTAAATTTATTAATGATTAGTTATTTTATATATGGTAGTACTTTCAATCCTCGATACCGCTTGGTGATACATCAGAAGATCAAACGGGTGATACATCAGTGGAATACAGGTATAAATCCTAAAAATTTGCTATCAAGAGAATGATAAAGTTAAATAATTCTTAATTCTCGTTAATTACAATTAGTTCACAAATTACAAATTTGATAAAAGAAACGTCTTCTAATGCATTTTTAGACATACTATCATATATATATGTAGTATTACTTGAAAGTATAAAAAAGATAGTAACTTACGATGAGCTTTTTTCAACAATTTTGACTAATATTCAAACTACTGATCTGGAAATTCATTCTGACAAAAACCTACTTGTGAGTGAAAAAGATTTATCAAATAGCGACTTACAAGTTGATTATAATGGTAATTCAAAAGAATCAATAGAAGCTGAAATTCCTATTATCGAAACTCAAAATGAACGTATCGAGTCAGGAAATTTCAAATTTAGTAATGCTTTAAAATTTACTACTGGAATAAAGTCCATAATTAAAAAGACAACACTTTTTAAAACTAAGTCACAGGCATCTATATCAGCAATAGCACCTAAAGTTTCAGAATCTACATCACCTGATTCTCAAACAAACGAAACATTAGGTGATGATAACAGTGATAATAATAATGATGATAGTATTGATAATAATAATGATAACAGTAACGATAATAATAATTACGCGAAGATAGCTTCTGATTCTTCACAAATAATATTTGTCGTAACAGACTTGGCTCATGTATGGTGTGCAAACTTGGTCTCGATTCGTGCAGACCAAAATGCACATATGATCCAAAAGGATTTTTACCGATTATTTAATGTAACATGGGCATTTGTGCTAGAATGTGAAAACCTGTGCGGTCGTACATGTTACGGCCTTCGAGGAACTATTACTTCACAAGTAATAAATGGTTAATGATTTTCTTTTTTAGTGTGATTCTATATATTTTCTTATCTCTTTTTTCGTTTACTTTCTAGGCCAAAGCATTTTTAAATAATTTTCATACCGAAAAAATACAGCAAGAGGCAGCATCAGTTGAAAACGAGCAATGGGCACAAGCCGAGGTTCCTGTTTATTTTCAGCAAGTTGTGAATCAAATTATAGCTGCTGCCGTCAAAGGATTATCTGATTTCAAGTGTAATCAATTTGACTGTAAAAATGAAAACGAACAAATTACTCTGAATAATTCGGATACAAAACGGAATAATATTTGCAAATATATATTTGTTGAGGAACGGCGATTTTATATAGTTAGTTGCGGTTTAATACTCCTTAAAATACTTGTTGATTATTTGAGTTGTATGGCCAATATTCCTGTATTGGCTGTCGAGACGATGAATAAAATTATAGAAATGTTAAATGTTAGTGTTTTAAATTATATTTCTTTTCTGGATTTTCCTGTTATATTAAATTGCTTCCGTTTATCCAGTTATTTAACTCAAGAACTTGTCAAGTGATTCTGGGAGGTGGCGCTAGACATTCTGCAGGATTAAAAATTATTACTGCCAAGCACTTAGGTATTCGTTTAATTTTTATGACTATTAATGGCACCAAAACAAACTCTGATTCTCTGCTTCCATTTTAGCACTTGCATCTCAATCGCTTGGCGCTATCATTGCACTGATACCATTTATTCGCGAATGTATTCGAAATAACCTCAGTGATAAACAAATGATAATGTTAACAGAGTTTGATCGGATTAAAAGAGTATGTTCGTTAAAAATATTAAAATAGATTTACTTCATCAAGTAACATTATATATATGCATTTATGTCTATAGGATTATATAAACCATCAAAATGAAGTGCATGCTAAACTAGTGTCTATAATGGATACACGACTATTAGTCCATCTTAAATCTTTTGGGGTATCATCTTTAATTTTTAATTATCAAGAATCTTTAACGAATACTAAAATAAACAAATTAATATTAGTCGATTATGTGGGATGAGTCGAGTAAGAAAAATGGACCAAACTCTTATATGGAATTATTGGTAAAGGAGATCATTAAATTGCATAATGTTTTAACCAAGATTTTACCACAGGAAACTTTACAGGTATCTTTTTAGAAAACTATAGCAAATTAATAAAAAAGGACTTTATTAACACATTATGCAATTTATTAGAAAGTAATGTCAGATGTTTTTAAATCGTCTAACGCCAAGCTTGCAAAAGAAATTGCTAAAGTGGATATTTATACGCCGGCTGGAAAAGAGCGGTAAGAAATATTATTAATCCTATACATGACCATAAATTCTGTTAACCCAACTAACCATCAATCCCTTTAATTAAAATAATTATTATAAAAAAAAAATTTCTAATCAATCCTTGATTTGCCAAAATTCAAAGAGTCATCCAAGATGTGCGATTTTATATTCGTAAATTATCAGCTTTAAACCTTCAAGAATTGGCTAATGAATTAGAAACCGTAGTCAATAATTTACCAATTAAGGAAAAGGAAAAGAAATCAGATGAAACTGTTGATTTAACCTCATCATCTAATGATTAATATCTGTAATTACAGTTGTTATCCTTAATTATGGTAATAAATCCTACAATAATAATTTAACTATTATTTCAAGATATTTATTTTCTTCATTTATTCCATATTATATACTCATTTATTCTATAAAACTTAATCCTTCTCCTTCTTTAGGATTTATGTTATGCTGTTTTAAATATTCATCATTCCTTATAATTTAATGATAATATAACATTAATAAAAAATCTAGAGTTTTAAATTAATTGTTGCGGCGAATGCTAAAATTAGCTGATGCTGTCGCGATTTAAAATATAAGCCCCACTAAAATCCACATATACTCTTTAATTATCAAACCCTAAAAAAAAGTGGAAACTCCCAAAAAGTTTTAAAAACCACACCAAAGTAGGTCCAAATTTCAGCATCAGCCGCGACAATAATTAATAAAATGCTTACCAAAATTTGGTTAAATGCTAGTGTATTTTGTTTGTTTGTAAAGCCACACAAGAAAATTTAAACGAGTTAATATAAAGAGAAATAAGGCATTAAGTTAATAATGCTAAAAAATAAAAAAGGCTTATCGAGAATGATGCTAAATTTGAAATGATGCAATTAACCAATGTATTAGAAAATAGAAACAAATTAACTGTAAAATAAGCTAATTTCAATATCATTCCAAATTCAGTATCATCAGTGACGTCTATTATTACAAACATACACGTTGACCTGAATCGCACAAAATCGTAACAATGCGCTTTCCTGGACCTAATTGCCTTGCAACACGCACGCAACCAACACAATTGATCGCCGACGAGCTTCCAACAAAAAGACCTGATTAACATATCCACACTTGGCATTATTAACATGGCATTATCAGTAGATTCCATTGCCAGACTATTAATAATCTTATTGCAACGAACCTTCTTCCTGAACCAAATATCTTGCCATTGCGACAGCTTCTTCATCACTAACACGTATCGCATCATCAATCAACCTATATGCAGTACTAAAGTTTTCAGTCATACGATTTAAACCAACTCCTTCTACAATAGTATCAGCCTGATGTCTACGTCGTGTGCCCTCAGCTTCATAAGGTGAATACATAATATTGTATTTTATCTTATTATATAATCCAGAACCAGGGGGGTCAACAAGAAATACTTTTAGGGAAGGTATGAGTGGTTTAAGATAACGTGATATTCCAGAAATAGTGCCGCCGGTACCTAGAATTGAGAACAAAACAATCACCTCGCAGAATTTAATAACCAATGATGGCTAATATATTTAAAAAGTTATTACTAATGCGTACCAGCCCCGGCAACAAACGCATCAATTTTGCCACTGGTTTGCCTAAATATTTCGGGACCTGTTCCACAATAATGTGCCTCAGCATTTGACACATTTTCAAATTGATCGGCAAAAAACCCAGCCTTTCTAGAATTATCTATAGAGTTCTGTAAGTTAATAATTTCAAAATCTTTATCCACATCTTGCTGAACGCCCTGGCGTTTTCCAAATAGTTCAGCCCGACTTTTAGCTAGGTTGACAAATTGCTGTTTATCTATAATACTTGCGGGCCTTACTTTTTCAACTGTTGCTCCTAATTTTTCTAGTAATTGGTACTTTTCTTCTGCTTGATCATCTGGCATTATAATCCATGCATTGTAACCTTTTGCACGAGAAATAATTGCAATGGATATCCCCGTGGAACCAGAAGTTCCTTCAAAAATAGTACATCCAGAATTTGGACTTATCAAACCCTGTTCTTCAGCTTTTTTTATTATATTGAGGGCGGCCCGATCTTTCAGGCTACCTCCAGGATTCAAAAACTTTATAAGATAGAAAATTGTTAACTTAAGTTGCGTTAACAATAAAGAACGCTTTTAACCTACCTCAACCTTTGCCTATATAAAATTAGATATATTAATAAAACCTTGAGATAAGCAAATAATCAACTATGTTATCAACTCTTTTACCAGTATTTCACAACCTGTCGCTTCGCTCAAACTCTTGATCCTCATAAGTGGCGTATTGCCAATTAAACCCAGAATGCCATCTGCAATTTCTTCGGTTCTAGTATCCTCGTCAACGGCATGTTTTTTTTTAACCCAGTTTAATAACGAATTCGTAGAAATGGTGAGTACAACGCCCACTATTAAACCGAAAATAAGAGTAGTAGTTTGCAAAGGCTGTTTGAAAGTGCTGTCTAATAACATGATGTTATTATCTGAAGATTAGCATGACGGAAGTTCAATTTTATTGGCTACACGTGTGTAAATCGCAGATCCTAAATTGTTAAATATGATTGGCTAATAAAATTAGTAAAATTTTATACTTGCCGATTAAAAATTTTGTGGCTAAGCATTCGTCGCAAATAGAGCAGTGTTTTGTATAGTTTCCACGTAGTTGAGTTTACGTGTGATTGAAAGAGTGTGGATTGTTGTTGTAGTCTGGTTTTGTCATATTCAAGCTTTGCGTGGTTAAGTTCACCGTAGTCAAGCTTTAGCAGTTAAGTTTTCTGGGTCAAGTTTCGCCGAGTCAGGTTTCGCCGGGTCAAGTTTGTTAGCCAATTTTCGCCTTGGTCAGGTGTTGTTAGTTGGCCAAGTTTCTCCGGGGC